GGCTCAATAAAGCTTTCAAACTACGAACATCATTCATATTCTTTGCAGCAATCAGTATATCATCAACATACAGTAACAGAAAAATAATAGAACAATCATCAAAACTCTTCACATAAACACAATAATCATACTCACATCTCCTGTAGCCAATCTGAATCATGTAGGAGTCAAATCGCTTGTATCATTGTCTTAGAGACTATTTCAACCCATACAGTGATTTCTTTAACCTGCAAACCAGATGCTCATTTAAAGATTGAGTGAACCCTTCTGGCTATTCCATGTAAATCTGCTCCTCCAGATCATCATGCAAGAAAGTAGTTTTAACATCCATCTGCTCCAAATGTGAATCCCAAATGGCTACTAATGCAAGCACTGCTCTGATTTAAGTATGTCTGACCACAGAAGAAAAGATTTCATCATAATTTATCCCCTTATACTGTGAAAATCCCTTTGCTACCAGTCGAGTTTTGAACTTTTCCCCTTCTTTTTCTGATACAGATGGTTTCCTTTGGTACACCCACTTGCACCCAATAGTCTTCTTTCCCTCAGGAAGCTGAACTAGCTCCCATGTGCGATTTTTCTGCAAAGACTCCATCTCCTCAACCATTTCACTCATCTATTTTTCTTTCACCTAGCTAGTGATAGCTTCTTGAAAAGTCGTTGGATCATCGTTGCTGATGAGAAGTATACAAGAGACCAAGTCTTCATATCTCAATCTAGTAGGAGGCCTTATATTGGTGCATCTCTGTCTGTCTCTAGCTAGATTATAATTCTACAGATCATTTAGAATGGAATCATCAGGTGTTGGATTTAAACCTTCAATTCTCTCAGTTGTTTTTGGATGTTGTTCTAAATTCATTTGCACTGTATTTTGAACTGGAACTGTTCTCTTGCACCTTCTCTTGATTCTGCTGTAACATGGACTGTTTATCAAAAACTGCATCTCTGCTGATCACATTCTTCTTTGTAATCGGATCTCAAAACTTGTATCCTTTCACACCTTTCTTGTAGCCCAGAAAGATGCACTTCTTGGATTTTGCATCAAGTTTTGATCTTTCATCTCCAGGTACATGCACATAAGCAACACAACTAAAAATTCGTAAATGATTGAAATTAATTGGATTACCTGTCCATACCTCTTTTGCAACCTTGCCACCCAACGATGCCTGAGGTGATCTATTAATGAGATAGCATGTCATATTCATAGCCTCTGCCCAGAAACTCTTAGGAAGCCTTGCATATAGTCTCAAGTATCTTGCCCTTTCAGTTAAGGACTTGTTCATCCTTTTTGCCACACCTTTTTGTTGTGGTGTCTTGTGCACTGGAAAATGCCTCTGAATCTCATGCTCCTCACAGAACTTCTGAACTGCGAATATGTGTACTCGGTGCCATTATTGGACCTCAACACTTGATTTTTCTGCCAGTTTGGTTCTCCACCTTAGTTTTCCACAGTTTGAATTTAGAGAATACTTCAAATTTCTGCTTCAATAAATACACCCAAATTTTCCTAGAAAAATCATCAATAAATGTAACGAAATACTGAGATCCTCCTAATGACGATTACCTGGTAGGGCCCCATACATCAGAATGCACATAATTAAGAATCCTTTTAGTTTTATGTTTTTCAGTCATAAAATTAACTCTAGTCTGTTTTCCAAGAACACAGAACTTAAAATGATCGAGTTTGCAGTTTTTAATACCATGCAACAGATTTCTTCTATGCAATTCTGTCATCCCATGTTCACTGAGATGACCCAGACGCATATGTCATAGCTTTGTACTATCATCATCAGACTCCACAGAATGAACTCTACCTACAACTGTACTCCTCAACAGTTTGTAGATATTGCCTGTAATTAACTTTCCTTTCATCATCGTCAGTGCACCCTTAACAATTCTAATGGTTTCTTTATCCTCATCTGCCTTAGAAATAAAATCAATTCTGTGTAGAGTGCTCAAGGAAATCAAATTCTTCTTCAGATCTGGAATATGTCTGACACACATAATGTTCTAGTTGTGCCATCATACATCTTAATTTTGACTTCTCCAATACCAACAATATTGCAGCATCTATTATTACCTAGATAAACTGAGCCAGAATTAGTTGACATGTATGAAGTAAACCACTCCCTGTTATGTGTTATGTGATAAGAGCATTCTGAATCAAGAATCCATGCATCTGTGAACTGAGTTGATGAAATTGGAAAACATATCACCATCACTGCAATCTGAATTGTCACTCTGCACCACATTTACAAACTTCGATGATCCATTACCTTTCCCCCCAGTCTGCTTCTTGAGCTTTGGACAATCTCTCTTCATATGAACTAGCTCCTAGCAATTGTAGCAATGAATTGTCTTTTTGCCTTTCGATTTGGATCTGGAATTTCGCCTTCTAGAACCCTCTTTTTCTTTCTTCTTTCCACGATTCTGCTTACCCTTAACATATAAACTGTGGTCATGAGAGTTTTCCCCTGCATTCTGCTTCCGCTGGTTGTGAGCCAACAATGCTACAGTGATCTCATCAACTTTGATAGTTTCTTTCCCATATGTAAGAGTAGTCACCATGTGTTCATAGAAAGAATATAGTGAGCACAACAAAATCATTGCCCGGTCTTCATCCTCAATAGTCACATTAAGCCGTGATAAATCTATGATTTTTTGATTGAAACCATTAACATGCTGCGCCAGATGAGAGTCTTCTTGCATCTTCAGCCCATACAACTTTTGCTTCAGATACAATTTATTTATCAGAGATTCAGCCATAAACTGAGTTTCCAATTTCTTCCATATCTCCCTTGGAGATTTTAGATTCATCACGTGATACATAACTTCATCTACCAGACATAGGCGTATAGTAGCTGCCGCTCGTTGTTGCAATTCTTCCCAATCTTCATCTTCCATGGAATCTGGTTTCATTGCTCGCAAAGCCTTTAGGATTCTCTGTTGTGCCAACAGATCTTTCACCACTATTTGTCATAATCCAAAGTTACGAGTTCCATCGAAATTTACCACCTTGAATTTCGCACCAGATATTGTCAGTTGAAATTGATCCTTTCTGCAACTGCTAAATTTTCCAGCAAAGGAAGGATTCCTGGGAATATTCCGCCTTCAGCCCGATCCTTCCCAAATCACGCTTCCTTCCCTAAAATTGGAACCCAACAAAAAATTATTTCCAATCTGAGCGTTGATCCCTCCGCACAGCAGAGTTTACTGTGTCGCCGTCACCGATAGCCTCCTATGCCGAGCCCCGCGAGCACTTACCGCCCCTTGTTCTGCGCCACAGATCGCGAAGCCGCCGCCTGGTTCGAGAGCACCGGTAGCCTCCTGCGCCGAATATGATGTCGTGAATCCCTCTTGACCTGCCGCGGTTCGTGCCGCAATTCGCTGCTATCCACGAACCACAAGATTCGCAGATCTTTTCGCACGCGAACCTCTTCTTAAAGCTTCTTCGCCCGCACAGATTTGCTTCACCTGATCGCTGCTCGCGAATCGCCGAAGTCTCTGCCAATGTTCCTGTCCTTCTTGGGCCGACGAAATTTTTCATCCCTGATACCACTTATTGAGAAATTAGGGCGAATAAAAAATAGGAATCGACACAAATACAGAAGAACACAAAGAGATTTAACGAGGTTCCGCAAAAATGCCTTCGTCCTTAGAAGCAGAGCGGCGATTTCCTTCCAATATCCAGAAAAGAGATTACAGAATAAAGAATACCTTCTGGAGTTACTAACATGTCTATTTATAACCCGAGGAGTAAATCATAAGTACAATATGTAATTACAACATTACCACTATACCGTACCGCGAGGCTTTGCCCCCGCACCCCAAACCCACATAACTTAACTTCCCGATTTTGACAGATTATTCCGCTCCGCTTCAATCCAGTGTGTCCCTATATGGTATATGAGTCGTACCATAACATTAGGCGAGCTTAATCGGTCAGCTAGAACTCACCGTGTTGCCTGTCAGAGGGATTCATAAATGCTACCGGTCGACTCATTAGCTGTGGATTGGTGAGACTGGTCTTATCGATCAAATTTTGCCGATCGAAAGGCATAGTTCGGTCATCAACCCTCGATCTTTGCCAAGAAGTCTTTGTCGACAGAGTGAATCTACGTTATAAGACAAATGATAACATGTTATAATATGATGAGTAATCTTCCTTTATATAAGAGCATCTTGGAGGGATGATTGACACATGTATTCTCCAGATGGTATTGGGCAAGACAACTGAATTATCTCGGTATGACAGTCTTTGGGGACCGACTTTTCTTTTAGATTGACTTCGGACCGACTTTTCTTTTAGATTGACTTCATTGTGAAGACAGTCTTTTGAATGAGCCGCTCGGGCTGATAGAACTTTGTCAGCTCTTATGATTTAAGTAGTTTCAAGTTCACTATGTTTAATCGGATATCTAGTTTGTTAATCCACGTTCCGGTAGGCCCTATTGAGATTAAGACGTTCACTTGGATCATTAGACCTCCTCGAGATTTATGCTGGCAAAAAACCCCCATAAAAGGGGATGAGTTTTATGTGAAAGAGATGGCTAATTGAAATCCCAGAGTAACAACATAACACTATCTCTCAAACGGTACAACACTATCATCCTAGTATTCCCTTCTCTTCAACTCGTGCTTTTCTCATTTCCTAACTCTTTCCTTGAGGAGTGAATCCAGAACAAATTAAGATCGAACAGATCAGTTTACTTTGTTGCGAAAAATGGTATCGCCTAGCACTTAATTAGTGCTCAAAGTTAGAGTAAAATATGCTTAAATTCAGGCTAATTCATACGAAAAAATTTATACAGAAACTATAATGTTTTTGAAGGTCTTGTCTAAATATGATGAGAGGAGAATGATCAAAGCAATATGAGGGAAAATTTAAATAGTAAAAAAGTGGGACTTTGTTCACTCAAGCTGCATTAACAAGAACTCTCTCAAATTTGCTATTAATATAGTTTTATTGGAAAATATGTCCTAACTCTGAATGTCAACTGTTAGATATAAAATTCCAAACAGCTAGAAGAATTCTTCATGATCGCTCAGACACCTCTGAATGCCACGAAAGTTTCAAGTTTTGAGAAAGCTTCATGCGCTCTATATAACCCAAGGAGTTAATTTTTCCGCAGGATGGGCCCAAGTCATTAGAAGCTACCTCTCCCATGGCTTTCCCATGGAAGCACTTATTGTTTACACCCAAAATCTAACATGCAGAACTCAACAGTCCTTTCTTCCTCTCATTCTTAAAATATGTGGCTCCCATTCTCTCCTTCTTCTCGGTGAATCTCTGCATTCAGAGTCCATCAAAGCCGGAACTGTTCATGAACTTCTAACGGGCACTACATTTGTTTCCATGTACGGTAAATGCAAGAAGGTAGCTCTTGCTCGCAAGTTCTTTGATGAAATGCCTGTGAAAAATTTGGTCACATATAATTCCATGATTGGGGGTTACTGCATGAATGGTGATCTGGTATCTGCTTCTGCACTTTTCCATCTGACTCCTGGAAGGACACCAGTGACATGGGCTGTGATGATTGAAGGCTATGCAGGAATTGAAAATCTTGCTGCTGCTAGAAAGATTTTTAATTCAACCCCACCATGGATGAAGACTGTGGTTACATGGACAGTGATGATCAACGGCTATGCCGCCAATGGTGAAATGGATGCGGCGCGGGAGCTGTTTGAGGAAATGCCGGTGAAGAATGCCTATGTGTGGTCATCCATGATCACTGGATGCTTCAAAAAGGGCAATGCTTGTGAGGCAAAGGCTCTGTTTGATCGAATTCAAGCCCCTAATTTGATTAATTGGAATGCATTGATTGCAGGGTATGCAAAGATTGGATTTTGTGAGGAGGCTTTGGGAGCTTTTAGACAAATGCAGGAGTCTGGAATTGGGCCAGATGAGTTCACAGTTTCTTGTATTTTGTCAGCCTGTGCCCAGTTGGGTTCCTTAGATTCTGCCATGGAAGTACATGAGTTTATTCGGAGGAGGAAGATAAAGATGAACTGCTTTGTCCTGAATGGTCTGGTTGATATGTATGCAAAGTGTGGGGATCTTGACAAAGCTCGAAGAATCTTCAATACAATGATTATAAGGAATGATTCATGCTGGAATTCAATGATATCTGGTCTTGCTTCTCACGGATGGAGTGAGGAAGCTCTGGAGCTCTTTTCTCTGATGGAAGCATCTGAAGTGAAGCCTAATTCAATCACATTCCTTGTGGTTCTTTCTGCTTGCACCCATGGAGGATTTGTGGAGCAAGGTCTGCAGATTTTTAGGAGTATGCACAAGTATGGGTTGAAGGCAGGAGTGGAGCATTATGGCTGCTTGGTAGATCTGTTTAGTAGAGCAGGCAGGCTAGGTGAAGCTTATAATGTTATCAAAATAATGCCAATGAAGCCTAATGAGGTGGTGTGGGGTACTTTGCTTGGTGCCTGTCGAGTTTATTCAGATATGGAGATGGCAGATCAGGTGGTACTGGAAGCAAATAACACAAATATCAGTATTTCATCAGTTAATGATGCAGATTACGTCTTGCTGTCAAATATTTTTGCAGCAGCAGAAAACTGGGAGAAAGCTGAGAAGATGAGGAGGAAAATGGTCGAAAATAAACTAACAAAGACGCCAGGCTGCAGTTCAATTGGATTAGGGGAGTCTAAACAACATTGTGATATTTATTGGAATGGACAAATGGTTACTAAAACTCTTCTCAGCTATTAAATTTTACAGTATTTTTTTATTTTTCTATTAACTGACCGTTATAAACCCTAAAATCACCATTCCTAAAGCCTTTTCCTAGCCAAGTTGATAATGATAAGGGCTTCGAAGACCTCTGAAACTGTCGTTGAAATGCAACTTGCACTTCCTTGAAACTGAACTAGCTAACCTATCCTCATATTTTGCTTAATTTTTCAAGTTCAACTTGGGCTTCGATGGATTGCAGGGGTGGTACGAGGTTATGTTCCGCCTGTAATTTGTAATTTTTCTATATAAATAAAAAAATTTCATATTTTTTCTCTTATGTAGTTTAGGCAATTTTGTAATTTGCTCCCGGATATATAGTTAAAAAAAATTAGACATTTGATGATTTTGCCTACCCTCAAAATTAACGATGGTTCGCCCTGATGGATTAGACACTTAAAAAATGTGTTAGTCTTTCTACTTATGTGTTTATTAACATAAAATAATAAATTAGAGCTCACATGGCCATACTTCAATGAATCTTTTACAAATGTGACCACCATGAAGACTCAAAACCACATGTCTCTTCATTGATCCTAGGAGGATTTTAATGCAATTCAGCCCTGGAAAAATTGCTACTTATTATTCAGCGTCCATTTAAGCACTAATCTCTCTGGATTTTGATCATTACAATCATTAAGGAAGATTTACTTATATGCCACTCAATTTCTATGTTCTTACACATCTCCACCTACACTTCAATTATTACATACATACCACCTTACTTATGCATCACATTGTAGAAGTTATAAATGGTGGTATTTTTTATTTGATATGAAAGATTTGGGTGTTAAAAATGTAAAAAGTAAAGTTTAGGTGTTATATATGTAAATACATAGGAATTGGATTGTATGTATGTAAATGCTCCAATCAATAATTAACCTGGCTTCCATAACTTTCCTCAAACGAACCAATTCTTGTTTTCAGCTCTTTGGCTTGAGACTTAAAATTATTTTTCCATGACTGACGTGATTTCCCTCCTTATTCCACTGATATTTTGTGTCCCGTCTTCTTTCTCTGATTGTATGATTGGAATTGCACTTTCTTGGATGGCTTAATGTTTCATAAGTTTATATCTCAGAAGGCTTCCATTCTGTAGGAATACACACATTATTAATATTTGATGCTCTCGTTTAGACAAGAGGAGTGTGTGAAGTCAGGAGGATAATAACAGTATTCATTTTGTTGAAGATCCACAACAAGGGGAAGGAGTAACAATTGCTGATTTATAGGCAGTCATTGGTCCAGCTTAAGCGACTGTTTTGCTACCACGTACGACAAATTATAGCATGAATATTGTGCATAGGCAGTCATTGGTCCAGCTTAAGCGACTGTTTTTATTGTGTTATTTGTGTTAATGTATAAATTATAGCATGAATATTGTGTTATTTGGCTAATAGAGGGCAGGGTTGCAAATTGTCTTAATGTATAAAAAAATACTCCTTGCTCAGTTTCCTTAGTTGGTTCATCATCGTTTGATTAACTAAATGAATATGTTTGAGCTTACTTAGTTGTTAGATGAACGTGCTTAGACAACTTATTACTCAATTTATTTATAATCATAAAAAAATATTGTTTTAAGTTTATGAACAAATAATTTAAGATGCTCGATTTGAGGTCAATCGTGAACAATTTTGTTTAGAGTTTATTTTTTAGGCTCAACGAGTTTAGTTTGACTAAATTTATTTTTTATTTCGAATAGATTACTTGTAAAAGACATGTTTATTTTGATAAATACTTCCCTCATTAATTAGCCCAATAATTTTAATATGATCAAACTAGAGAAGAATCAAACAATCATAATCTTAAACAAGTCCAGCTTGAACACAATCATGAAACATCAAATAGAAGGGATGCTCCTATGTCATTTTCAGGATAGAATGTGCATGATGCTAGGCATTCTCAGCACCATGGGGAGTCCAAGAAAAGGGAAAAGAAGTAGATAATCGGAGAAGAGAAGAAATAGTTCTGGATAATTTCTATTCAGCAGTCACACAGATACAGGGCCCTACGCCTATTTATAGCAGCTGGATCGGTGGGGAAAACAAGCCACGCAAGCTAGGACAACTAGCAATACAACTTTTTTACATTTATATAAATACCCTCATAATATATATTTGTTAATACCGCCCCGCAAGTTGATAGTTCACGTGGGAAGTATCAACTTTTTGTAGAGAGAGTTGAATCTGCTAAAGGCAAGGGCTTTGGTGAAAATATCAGCCAGTTGATCGGTAGTGGCGATTTGATGGACGATAATATCTTTGTTAAGGATGCAACCCCAAATGAAATGAGCATCTATTTCAATATATTTTGTTTTAGCATGGAAGACAGAGTTATTAGCAAGAGTTAGAGCTATAATGTTGTCACAATAGAGTAGAGTTGGCCCTGTAGGAGAGATTTGGATGTCCTGAAGTAATCTTTGTAACCAAATAATATTGGCGGTCATTGTAGAAAGAGCTAGATTTTTAGCTTTGGTCGAACATCTGGCCACAGTTTTTTGTTTCTTAGTGCACGAGGAGATGAGTGTAATCCTATGAAATACACAATACCCGATAGAAGATTTGTGATCGTTTGGGTCACAGGTTCAGTCGAGGTTGGAGAATGTGTATCGTTGTTGATAGTGCCTTTGATGTACTATAACAACCGTTTAAGTTGGACAAAGTGTTTGTTGAGAGGTTGATGAAGATGTTGACACAGCTTATTGACGATAAATGTGAAATTCAGTCTTGTTAATGTGACGTATTAGAGAGAGCCAACTAAGTTCCTATAGTGGTGAGGACAATCATATGCATAGTCATCAGTGGGGAAAGAGATTAGCTTGGTAGACATAAAGGTTTTGATGGATTTGCAATTCATCATGCCAGCTTTCATGAGGATTTCTTCAGCATCTTTGAATTGGTAAGGTGCAGGTCGTTGGAGACACACAATCTGGATGCTGAGAAACATACTTGGCTTGCTAAGGTTCTTGACTTGAATGTGCCGATGTAACTGATGATAATTTGAGTGTGGAAAGTTGAATCACTATCTGTAATTAGGATATCATCAACATATATCAAAATGTATGTTTCGACATTGGATGTCAAGAACATTATAAGAGAAGGATAGACATTGCTAATTTTGAGGCTTAATGATTTCAAGGTGGACAAGAGAGTAGAGTGACATTGTCTTAGAGATTGTTTAAGACTGTTTGTGGCTTTCTTCAGGAGGTATACATAGTTTGGTTTAGTGGAGTCTTCAAATCCCTTTAGTTGAGACATAAATACTGTCTCATGGAGTGTGCCATGTAGGAAGGCGTTGGAGATGTGAAGTTGGATGATTTCCCACTGATTAGAAGTAGTCACTTTGAGAAGAGTGTGGATAGTGGGAAATTTGGAGATGGGACTAAAGGTTTGATCATAGTCAATTCCATGATTTTTTTATAGCCGTGTGTCACTAGTCTTGCCTTGTTATGGAGAATAGTACCATCATAATTTTGCTTTAATATATATGTCCATTTGCATTTGAGAACATTTTAAGATGGTGACAGAGAAACAAGAATCCATGTGCCTTGGGAGAGAAAAGCTTGAAATTCCTCTTACATGGCTTTGCGTCAGTGATTATGTCGAGTTGTAGGAGGTTGGATCCCTGGATTTGTCGGTGAGTGTTTGATGAAGATCTAAAATGACTTTAGGTTTGAGATTACCTAATTTGTACCTCGTAATCAAGTACGAGTGTGCGGTTGAGAATTGATTTTTAGAGAGGTACTATGTGATACAGGATGGTTGAGAGAGGGACTAAGTTATTTAGCTTTTGGTGCTTGAGTGTGGGAATCAATGTTGGACGGTGGAGGACATGGTGGGTGGGCATTTGGAGTAGCAGGCACTTGTTCAATTGGTTTGGAAGGGTTAGATAGAATGGTAACCAAGGTAAGAAGGAGATGATAGGCAAGGGACTCAGGTGGTGGGTGGAGCTGGAGGTAGTACAATACAAAAAAGTGGTTTCATAGAATTTAGAGTGCCTTGATGTGTATGTTTTATTGGTGACTGGGTTATAACATTTGTATCCTGTGTAGAGGGGAGAATACCAAATAAAAATGCTCGGGTTGGATCTAGGTGAGAATTTGTTCGTGGCGTGGGCTCTTAAACACGGGAAGCAGAGAAACCCTTTTATTTTGAGATGGGTATATTGAAGTGGTTTTTTGATGCAATAGTTGAAATGGTGAGAGATTATTTGTGTTGGAAGAGGGAAGTATGTTGCTTAGGTAGATACTAGTTTGAAGACGTTTAGCCAAAAACATGGTAAATTGGTTGTTTTCATGAGAGCCGAGACATCTCCAATATATGTCGATGTTTGTGTTTGACAACCCTATTTTATTTGGGAGTATATGGGCAGCTGCTCTGATGAAAAATTGTGTGGAGGTTATCCGACATAGTTGGGATAGAGTCAAATAGGGAGTTAATCGATTTGCCAGGATGTTGAGATTCAATTTGGGAGGTTGGACATAATTTGGGTGTTTAGAAATTGGTTTTGATGTTAGATGTGGTACAAAGATGACGAGAGGCTGCTGACATAATTTAGGTATGACTCCTACTTCAACAAAGCAAGGTAGGAGGGGCTTTAGAGGTAGAGTGTTTTGGACATGAAGAGCTAAAAGTATTACAGGGAATATAAAGAGATGGCTTCCACTCATATTTAATAGATTATATTACATCATTCCATTTAACAAAAATATAATAAAATCATATAGATTAAATTTAGTACCAACTCTCACGGTTATTCTAATAAAAGCTCTTTTGTTGTGAGTGAGTAAGAACCAAAAGAATACTAATTTTACACCCAATCTTAGTATTTCTAATTTCATTCCAACAACACTAAAAAAAATTAAGAAATTAACCCAAATGGGGATTTCTTAAAGTCTTCATTTAGAGGTCTACAATCTGTACTATCTCATATATAAAAATAAAAGATCTACTACTAATAACTTTGAATAGGAAAAACCCCCTATGAGAGATGTAAGATTGATAGTACCACACAAACTCCAGAGTTTTAAGTTTACTGATAGCTTGAAGCACATTATAATGGAATAGACGTTTTCGGAGTGCATAACCCGTAAGAGCAAGACTCCACTGTTTGGATCCGTCATCGTTTTCCTCATATGAGAAGACAATTTTTTCATATGTTGAAAGGATGAAAGTGAGATTAAATTTGAAGGAGTTGGTGAATTGAGAAGATAAAATCACTTAACACTTAAGAGAAAGAAGGCAACCAAGAATAGACGAGGTAGAAGACGAGGGGGATGGAATCGAGATCCATGGTGTGAAGGTTAGAGTCCTCGATAACTAGAGAAGAAAGAGAGGCAACTAAGGTTCAAATGTGGAGGCGATGACAGGACGAGAAGCATCGAAATGTAAAAAATCAGTCAAAGCGCATGTGGAGAACTTTTTCACTCATCTCGTTTTGCTTCCAAAAATTTAAAAATCACTTGTACATTAAATTGAAAAAAAATAGACTTAAAATCCAACGGTCAAATCAAGATTGATCGGAAGCTTATATAATAAATATTAAAATTAACCTGTATGACTTAAAAGTTATATAATTATTTTAAGAAATATTTTTTATGAATTTTAAAATAGATTATTTTAATTTAAAATTATTTATTTTTAATATTTTAAAAATGATTTTAAATCAAAATTTTGATGCATGATATTTTTTTATATATTTTTAATTGGGATAATTACAGACAAAGCACATGAAACATTGTTATTTACCAAACTAACGATTTAATAAAAAATAAAAAATAAAATTTTAATTGGGATAATTACAGACAAAGCACATGAAATATTGTTATTTATAAATCAAGTACTAAGGTGATTTTTTTTAAATTACCAAACTAACGATTTAATAAAAAAAAAAAAAATAAATAAAAATTCATTGAAATTTTATCATGATCATTGATATTTGAGTGAGAATTTACAAAAACGAATGAAAAAGATACTTGATTTGTAAATAATAATATTTTGAGTGCCGAATATGTAAGCACCCTCTTTATTGCTTATCAAAAAGCTTTTATTTCTAGTTTTCACATCAAAATAAAAAAAAAATCAAAAAAATTAATAAATATTAGAAAAGTGCGATTCATTAAAAACTATATTGGAATCGTTTATGTTCTAATTTTGATTTATATTATTTGACGGCAATTTTAAATCTGAATTATCATACATTTGACTTGGTTGGGCCAGCTAATTAAAACCAGAATTTGTTCGCAGGGACACTCCAATTGCTTGTCCGGGCCTTTAAATTCATCGTTTCCAATAGCTACATTAGCCAGCGATGTTGCTGCTACTGAAGGACGTATATCACTACTGTCATCTACTGTTTGTCGTTGCCTCATCACCCCTGGTCATAGAAAATCTAATCAAACCATATGGTGTATCTTCACCACACATAATTTCTCATCTTGACATTATATATATATATATATATATATATATATATATA